TTTTTTTTTCCTGTTTTAGCTTTAGGACTCCATCTCCACCTGCAGGGCGCCCTCTGCTGGCGGATCAGAGGATTTTTTCCTGTTTTAGCTTTAGGACCCCATCTCCATCTGCAGGGCATCCCTTGCTGGTGGTTCTCAGAGAGTTACCCTGGGAGAAAGTCCATCTTCACCTGGGTGTTCAGTGGCTGTATCTTATGTGTAGGCTGCCCATGAGTGACACACCTTCAGTTCTCTTTCTACATTCATCACGGAACAGAGCTGTACCAGGCAGAGATGCACCAACAGGGCTTTTGCTAGCTGGAGAATGTAGGAAAAAACACCCCAGCCACTGCAGCAAAACACATTTCCAAAATTTCAAGGAAGGAACAGGACAGGTGGTTCATGCCTACAATCCTCAGAAGGCTGAGATCTAAGGATCATGGTGTGAAGCCAGCCCAGGCAAGAAAGTCCATGAGATTCTTATTTCCAAGTAATCCCCAAAAAGCCAGAAATAGAGCTATAGCTCAGTGGTAGAGGGCCAGTCTTGAGTGAGAAAGCTAAGGGAATGGCTGGGAATGTGGCATAGAGTGCTTTCCTAGCATGCATGAAGCCCTGGATTGGATTCCTCAGTACCACAAGACAGAAAAGGCTGGAAGTGGCACTGTGGCTCAAATAGTAGAGTGCTAGCCTTGAGCAAAAGAAGCTCAGGGACAGTGCACAGGCCCTGAGTTCAAGCCCCAGGACTGGCAAAAAATAAACAACAAAAAAAATGCTATATTTTAGAGTGCTAGCCTTGAGCTGAAGAGCTGAGGGACAGCACTCAGGCCCAGAGTTCAAGCCCCATGACCTACAAAAAGAAAGAAAGAAAGAAAGAAAGCTAAGGGAAAAAGCCATAGGTCTTGAGTTCAAGCCCCAGTATAGGCACCAATTTTTTTTTTTAGTTTCCTTTCTGCACTGGTGTAATATTTAGTTTCTAATTTCTGCTGAAAAGGTAATTATCTCTACTGAGAAATGTTTTGTAAGACAGGGTCTTATATAGCCAGGCTAGTCTCAAATTCTGTCTTCCTTCCTCAGCCACCAAAGTACTGGGATTACAGGTATTTCCCACTCTGCCTGATGAGAAATGCTTAATATTTAAATTCTGGGAAGGCTCACAGAGAGGGCGAATGAGAATGAATGTGGTCAAGGTAACTGATTTTCATGCATGAAAATAGAACAATGAAACCTGTTGAATTTGCCGGGTGTTGGTGGCTCAAGGATGTAATCCTAGCTACTCAGAAGGCTGAGATCTGAGGATAACAGTTCAAAGCCAGCCTGGGCAGAAAAGTCCATGAGACTCTTATCTCCAATAAACCACCAAAAAACAAGAAGTAGCACTGTGGCTCAAGCGGCAGGGCACTCGCCTTGAGCTGAAGAGCGCAGGGACAGTGCCCAGGCCCAGAGTTCAAGCCCCACGACCAAAAAAAAAAAAAAGACACCTGTTGAGGTCAGTGAGATGGAGGGGTGATGCTGATGGGATACAGTGTCATAATGAACCCCCCTTATACAATTAATGGATGCTAGTAAAAGGTTCTCACACCATCCACAATGAAAAACATAAGGACTATTTGTATATTTGCAAAGTAGTTACTAAAACTGTCCAGTGCTTCTATAGATAAAATTGATTGTTAACCTTTGAAGACATTTCTTTTTTTTTTGTCGGTCGTGGGGCCTGAACTCTGGGCCTGGGCGCTGTCCCTCAGCTCTTTAGCTCAAGGCGAGCCCTCTACCACTTGAGCTACAGCGCCACTTCCGGTTTTCTGGTGGTTTATTGGAGATAGGAGTCTCAGGGTCTTTCCTGCCCAGGCTCGCTTTGAACCGCGATCCTCAGATCTCAGCCTCCTGAGTAGCTAGGATGACAGGCATGAGCCACCATCGCCCGGAAAGACATTTTTTTGTTACTAAAACTTTGGAAAATATGAGTTTCATTTTTTTTTAAAGACAGGGCCTTGCTCAGCTCATCTGTCGGAGAGATGCGCTCATCATACTTCATAAGTATTTAAATGAAGGCTGGGCATGGAGGTTCATATGTATAATCCTAGCACTCAGGAGGCTGAGGCAGGAGGATCACAGAGGTAAGGCCAGTGAGCCCCTGCTGCAAAAAAAAAAAAGTATTTAAGTGAAACACTGAATAAGAAAGAACTTTCAGGGAAAGATTTCTCCCATCCTATAAATCACAAGACTACTTAAAAAATATGGCATAGGCTGGGAATGGGGCACAAGTGGTAGCATGCTAGCCTTGAGCAAAAGAAGCTCAGGGACAGTGCTCAGGCCCTGAGTTCAAGCCTCAGGAGTGGCCATTCTATTGATTGAGAATATTCTTTGCAAAAATAAACTTACCAAGGGACACTGAGCAAGAAGCACTGTACTTCCTAACTTGACTTGTGGAATAAGCTCTTTGTACAACTACTTAAAAAATAAATAAGCTTACCTTTAAATTCAGACCACAGTATGTACCATCTGATTAAAAAAAGAAGAGAGAGCTTTAACAGTACATTAAAAAAAACCTGACAAACTCAAGAAGAGTACATTCAGAGGAGCTCTGACAATCACCTCCCGCCCAGCAAGGTCCAGCTGGGACAAGAGATGCATTGCAACCCACGTGGCAGGTGGCTCCTGGGGTAAGCCAGAACCTTCCCTGTTGTTCACTTACTCTTATTGTCTTCCACCTGAACCCCTGTGGTAGTTATAGCACTCCAGAGCCAGGGCAGACCCTCCCACAGCCCTGAGTTCTTCCCACCTCTCTAACTCTGCACCAGTGCCCAAACAGGCCACACGGACTGCTGCAGCCATCCTGCCACAGCACCACCACTCTAGGTAGAACACAGCGTCTAGGCTCATAAAGACACACAAAGACCAACCTGCCCAGGACTCAGCTTCCACCCAGAGGAAACTGAGGTGCCCCCAGAAGAAGGTGATCCCACACTCCCGTGGGCTGCAAAAGGTGGAGGCTAGGTTGCTTCTAATGGTCCAATACTGATCTACATAAGAGTATAAGTAACTGGCTGAATATTAAAAAAAAAAAAGGCACAGAAAGCCAGAGGCTGATAGTTCAGTCCTATAATCCATGCTACTCAAAAAACTGAGCTCTGAGGATTAGGGTTTGAAGTCAACCTAGGCTTTTAGAAAAGTCTGTGGGTTTTTATCTCCAATTAGCTAGCAAAAAGCTAGAACTGCTGGGCAATGGTGGCTCATGCCTGTAATCCTAGCTACTCAGGAGGCTGAGATCTGAGGATCAGGGTTCACAGCCAGCCCGGGGAAGGAAAGTCTGTGAAACTTTTTTTTTTGCGGGGGGGGGTCCAGTCGTGGGGCCTGAACTCTGGGCCTGGGTCAGCTCTTCAGCTCAAGGCTAGCGCTCTACCACTTGAGCCATAGCGCCACTTCCGGCTTTTTTCTTTTTGCTTATGTGGTGCTGAGGAATCAAACCCAGAGCTTCAGACATGCAAGGCAAGTGCTCTACCACTGAACCACCTTCCCAGACCCATCCGTGAAACTCTTATCTCCAATAAACCACCAGAAAACCGGAAGTGGCACGGTGGCTCCAGTGGTAGAGCGCTAGCCTTGAGCTGAAGAGCTGAAGGGCAGCGCCCAGGCCGAGTTCAAGCCCAGCAACTGAAAACAAAACAAAGAAGCTAGAACTGCAGATTCTGCTTAAGTAGCAGAGTGCCAGCATTGAGCAAAAATTCTGAGGGTCAGCACCCATCCCCAAATTCAAGCACCAGTACTGGCACAAAAAACAAAAATAACAACAAAGCCACAGATTTGCAAAACACAGAAAGAAGCTCTACAGGACTAAAAAAGAAAAAAAAAGAAACACACACACACACACACACACACACACACACACTGATAAATTTGCTTAAAACATGATGTAAGATTCAAAATCTAGTTTGGGTGCCAGTGCCTCATGTTGGTCATCCTAGCTACTCGGGAGGCTGAGATCTGAGGATCAGAGTTCAAGGCCAATCCAGGAAGAAAAGTCCTGGAGATTCTTATCTCTGTTAACCTGAAAAAAAAGAAAAAAGAAAAAAAAAGCCAGAAAAGGAGCTGTAGCTCCAGTGAGAGTGTGCTAGCTTTCCTTGAGCAAAAAAGTGCAGGAAAAACCTCAGATTCTGAGTGCAAGGACCAGTACTGGCACAAAAATAAATTAATTAATAAATGAATGAATGAAATCAGAGAGCCACAGCATGGAGATGTGGACACACAAACACTAGCAGCCAACATTTAGCAGGACCATCGCTGTTCTTGTCCAGGTGTCTACACTAGGTGTGGCTCACCTTGCTGACTGGGGAGAGGAGAGGGGCTGGAGAGCCCATCCAGCTCCAAGCCATCACCGTCCTGCTCACTGTCCTCTTCACTCGATAGCAGCACCTAGACGTTACAAAAGAACACGCACAGACAAAGTGCTGGCTGTGAGGAATGTGCTCCTGATTGGTCCAGTCTTACCAGGACTTCTCCCCTTCCACCTACCTCCCTAAGCAACTAAGCTGCTTTTTTTTTTTTTTTGCCAGTCCTGGGGCTTGAACTCAGGGCCTGGGCACTGTCCCTGAGCCTCATTTTTTTGCTCAAGGCTTCTGCTTGAGCCACAGCACCACTTCCAGCTTTTTCTGCTTATGTGGTGCCGAGGAATTGAACCCAGGGCCTCATGCATGCAAGGCAAGCACTCTACCACTGAGCCACCTTCCCAGTCCTAAACTGCTTTTTTTTTTTTGTGCTGGTCATGAGACTTGAACTCAGGGCCTGGGTAGTATCGCTTAACTATTTTACTCAAGGCTGGTACATTTGAGCCACAGCTCTACTTCCAGCTTTTTGTTAGTTCACTGGAGGTAAGAGTCTCCTGGAATTTTCTGACCAGATTGGCTTTAAACTGTGATCCTCAGATTTTGGCCTCCTGAGTAGCTGGGATTACAGGTGTGAGTTACCAGTACCAGGCAGCTCTGCTTTCTTAAATGACACTAAAAGGATGCCATCTGGTGGGCTGGGAGAAAACTTCACAGATCTCAAGAAAAGCCTGCAGGGCAAGGACAAGACTTGGGCCATGAGGAGCTTCACACCACACCAGTGCGGCACTGGTGGCTCACACCTGTCAGCCTAGCCCTCACGACGCTAAAACTGAGCATCACAGTTCAAAGCCGGACCAGGTAGAAAGGTCCGAGACACTCTTATCTCCAATGAACCATCACAAAGCCAGAAGTGGAGCTGTGCTGTGGTTCAAGTAGTGGAATGTTAGTTTTGAGTCAAGAAGCTCAAGGAGGGGCTGGGAAGGTGGCTCAGTGGTAGAGCGCTTGCCTTGTATGCATGAGGTCCTGGGTTCGATTCCTCAGCACCACATAAGCAAAAAGAAAAGAGCCGGAAGTGGTGCTGTGGCTCAAGTGGTAGAGCGCTAGCCTTGAGCTGAAGAGCTGAGGGACAGCGCCCAAGCCCAGAGTTCAGGCCCCACGACTGGACCAAAAAAAAAAAAAAAAAGCTCAAGGAGAGCGCCCAGGCCCTGAGTTCAAATCCCAGTACTGGCAAAAACACACAGACAAGAAGCATGAAGAACTTTACCATAATTGCCTTTGAAGAACAAGGGAAAAAGGTTTACATTTTCAGCGGAAGCAGACAGCAATCAAACTGGATTCATTAAAAGCCAAATCAAAAAGAATCAAATGATCAAATGTGACAAATGGAGAGCAGGTTGCAAACGCCCCCCCCCTACATTAATCATGGCCTAAGGTCAAGGAAGGACCCCTGGAGGGCAGCAGTACCTGGCTTCTGTGGGATGCAGAGTGCACAGCACTACCGTCCCCTAACTCCTTGTTGCTGGCAGACACCAGCATACCGCCATCCTCTTCTTCCCTGTAGTCCAATGTCTCAAAGGAGGGCAAAGAAATTGCTTTGCCCAAATTGTTCTCCCAATTCAGCCTATATTAGAGCAATAAGGAGTTTTTAAACAAGAGAACAAACATTGACATCCATTTCTACACACTGTTGTTTGTTTTTGTCACTACATAGCCCAGACTTGTTGAACAGTGCCAGGATTACAGGAATGCACCATCATACTCAACTGCTGCATACATATTAAGGCAGGTCCCTCCAAGTCCCCACCATGGAGGTATTACAACACACTCCAAAACAGATAGAAGCTGGCCAGGTGCCCCTAGCTTACACATGTAATCCTTGCTACTCAGGAGGCTGAGATCTGAGGAATCTGGTTCAAAGTCAGCTGGGGCAGAAAAGTCTGTGAGACCCTTATCTCCAATTAAGTACCAAAAAGCCCAAAGTGGAGCTGTAGCTCAAGTGGTAGAGCACCAGCCTTGAGCACAAAAGCTCAGGGAAAAGTACCCAGGTCTTCAGTTCAAGCCCAGGGATTGACACAAAAAATAGATCGGCTGGGAATGTGGCTGAGTGGTGGAGTGCTTGCCTAGCACTGGGTTTGATTCCTCAGTACCACCTAGATTAAATTAAAAAAAAAATAGAAGCTTAAACACTAAAGCATCCACTATCCATTCACTTCTATATACTTCAAATTTCTTGCTAGGTTTGTTTTGTTTTAGAGCTGGTACTGAGACTTGAACTCAGTGCCTCATTCTATCACTTTAGCCACACCTCCATTTCTTTGTGCTGATTAATTCTGCTCCAACCGGCTTTGAACTGGGATCCTCTGATCTCAAAAACAGAGGTGTGAACCACCGGTTCCCATTCAGCAAGATCTGCTCTAGAGCTAATTCTGGTTCAAGAGCAGTGAGTAGGGCTAGGGACATAGCGCAAATGGTAGAACATTTGCTTAGCTACTCAGGAGGCTGAGATCTGAGGATCTTGGTTTGAAGCCAGCCTGGGTAGGAAAGTCTATGAGACCCTTATCTCCAATGAACCACCAAAAACCTGGATGTGGAGCTGTGGCTCACTGGTAGAATGCCAGACTTAAGTAAAAAAAAAAAAAAAAAAAGCTCAGGGACAGTGCCCAGGCCTTGAGCTCAAGCTAAGGACCAGCACATGCACACGCACATGCACACACATACACACAGAGTGACCACATTGACCCCTACCGAGGCCTGGGCTCAGCGGTGGCTGCCTGGGGCTCAGTGGTGCTGTCCTTTCCAATAGAGAAGGTGTCACTCTCAGACCAGGATCTTGGGCGAGGCTGGGGAATGGCAACGGTCCGTCCAGTCAATGTGGTTGCCAGAATGGCCGCAGCCAGAGCAGATCTAGGGACAGGAAGATCCCCAGGAGACATTGAGCCAGTTCACACCTGCACTGTGGCCTGATGATCGGCCCTACGTCCATGGGGACAGATATTCCCACCTGTCCACTACTTGAGTCTCATCCTTGCTGGCTTGGGCACAGGGCATAGGCACTACTCAATCTGGACTCACCGGGGTCGCTCTGGAGAGGGGTCTGGGCTGCGGGGAGGAGGTGTGCGGGGCACAGCTGGCTTTGGAGCGATGCTGGCTGCAGGGAGGAGGCCATGGATGATGTGTTTCTGCCCAAATAAAACCCAGGAGAGGTCACAGAGGAGGGAAAAAAAATCACTGGATCCTGTCATCCACTATCACCTCCTAAGCCCTCCTACCCCGGGCCCCCTCTCTTCTCTCATCTCCGATATCCTTCTGGGCAGACAGTCCCTGGCAGATGCTAGCTATCACAAGATGCCACCACCTCAGAGCAGCTTCCCTGATGTCCCCAAGTCACCCTCCAGCCCCTCACCAGTCCCAGGCACTGGCCCCTGTGGTGGGTTCCCTGCCTCCTTACAACAGAACATGCTCCCCTGGGATTCACAGCCGAGTGTGCTGATCTCGGGCAGCTGATCTCTACATCCGGGGCCATTTGGATGTTCCTTCACATGCCTTAGTCTCCATTTTCTGGGCACTATGCCATTCATTTCCACCCACTTGAGGGGGACACCACCACAGCAACAAAGACCTGGGGTCCCCTTCCTCCAAAACACCCACACTGCTGGCATAAGAGGTGTGCCAAGGGACACTGACAACAGAATGGAGGTGAGGAAAGGGCAAGAAAACCCACGGAATGCTTTAGAGAAAATCATAGAGGATAGTGGGCTGCCTTCAAGGTAGCACTCTGCCACACATGCAGTGTGATGAAAAGGACAAGGAACAGCATGAACAAGGAGAAGAGCAAGGCACTGGAGGAAGTGCTCTACAAACAAGGGATCCTGTTTGCTAGGATTTGCTGTGATGCCCCAAGAGTCATGTGGGGGAGAGAGGCCAGGGACCAGGGGCTCCGGGTGAGCCAGGAGGGAGGGGGGCTATTCCCAAAAAGGCCAAAGTGGCCCTTCATAGAATCAACTGGGCATCAGAAGGCCTAAGATACAGGAGAGGAAGGGAATGGAAGTAGAGGAGCAGGTAGATTTTAAAAGTCTTCCACAGCCTCTATCGCCACACGAGTTGGGCTCGCGAGAACTCATGGGAAATCGAGTCCCAGTGGCTCACGCCTGGAATCCTAGCTATTCAGGAAGCTGAGATCTGAGGATGGTAGGAAAGTCCCTGCAATTCTTATTTCCAATAAACCACTCAGAAGTGGTGCTGTGGCTCAAGTGGCACAGTACTCGCCTTGAGCTGAAGAGCTGAGGGACAGTGTCCAGGCCCAGAGTTCAAGTCCCGCGACTAACCAAAAAAAAAAAAAAAAAAAAGAACCCATAGGAGCAGGCTTTCTAGACATATCTCTCCATGCCCACCTCTCTCTATGGAACTCGACAGTTCGTGTGTCTGTCCCCTCTCTTGCCCTGCCACAATCTAGGGTGACGCTCAAGAACAAAAAATGGCTTTGTGGGCTTGGAACACTGTGTGTGTGCATGCGTGCGTGTGTCGGTTGTGTGTGGGGCCTGAACTCTAGGCCTGGGCGCTGTCCCTCAGCTCTTCAGCTCAAGGCTAGTGCTCTACCATTTGAGCCACAGCGCCACTTCCAGCTTTTTCTGCTTATGTGGTTCTGAGGAATTGAACCCAGAGCCTCATGCATGCAAGACAAGCACTCTTACACTGAGTCACCTTCCTAGCCCCTTGGAAAACTTTTGCTAATCCCAACCACTTGGAAAGTGGAAATCACAATTTGAAAGCTGGGACATGTTACAAAAACAAAACAAAAAACAAAAACCACCAAAAACCAGCTAACAAGACCTCAGGTCAAAAAATAGGCCTGGGGCTGGGAAGGTGGCTCAGTGGTAGAGTGCTTGCCTTACATGCATGAGGCCCTCAATTCCTCAGCACCACATAAGCAGAAAAAGTCAGAAGTGGCGCTGTGGCTCAAGTGATAGAGCGATAGCCTTGAGCTGAAGAGCTGAGGGACAGCGCCCAGGCCCAGAGTTCAGGCCCCATGACCGGCAAAAAAAAATAAAAATAAAATAGGCCTGGTGGTGGTGGGACACATCTTTAATCCCAGCTATGTGGGAGTCTGAAGTAGGAGAATCACAGTCCAAGACTGTCTAGGCAAAAAAGCAGACTACGGAAAATAACATATTTTATATAATTATATGTGTGTATATATAATTATATACCATACACATTGTATTTTGTAAGTGGTATGTATATAATTTTTAAAGGGCTGGGGACATGGCTCAAATGGTAGTACTCTTGCCTAGAAAGCCAAAGGTCCTGCGTTTAAACCCCAGTGTCACCACCACACATCGCCCCAAAAGTCTTCTTAATCTCTGAATCCTAAGGGACTAGTCTCTAGTTAAGCCTTCCAAAATGGGTTTTCCTTTTTTTTTGGGGGGGGGGTCAGTTACTGCGGTTTGAGGCCAGGACCTTACATTTACTAAGGAGGCGCTCAACTGCGAAGCTTTCAGCCTTATTTTTAGTGCAATCACTGAGGCTTGATCTCAGAACCTGGGCACTTTTTTTTTTCTTCAGTGAAAGCTAGTGCTCTACCACTTGAGCCACAAGGGCACTTCTGGTTTTCTGGTGGTTTATTGGTGATAAGAGTCTCACCGCCTTTCCTGCCCAGGCTGGCTTTGAACCGCGATCCTCAGATCTCAGCCTCCTGAGTAGCTAGGATGACAGGCGTGAGCCACTGGCGCCTGGCTTTTTTTCTTTTGACAGTTTATAATTTAATCACAATAGTCCTGAGAGGATTCTTTCCATCCCGAACGCACAGGCCAAATCCAAACACCCCGACCTGTCACCCCCAAAACTCCCGGGGCCAGAGCGCAGGGCGGGTGAGGGGGTCACTTACGAACTGCCTCTTGCGGCCCCTCCGAAAGCTCAGCAGCATCTTTGTTAAGGGATTGTGGGGGTAGGCAGGCCTGGAACCTGGATCTTCCTGGTAAATATTCCCACAGCCAGAACCGCACCCCTCAGCTGAGCCTCTCCGCGCTGGTTTAATGCCAACCGCTGTTTTCCCTTCTAGACTTGGCAGTATCCGCGCTTGCTATTGGTTCCCGTTTGTCCTGGACCAATCACAGCTGAGCTTACTTCCATGCCCCGTCGCTCTTGGCAACTAGCGCGCTTCGTTCAAATTCCCACCAGTATGAAAGCGATCTGCGATATAGATGCTTCTATTGGTCAGAGTAGATGTCAATCTTCATCACAGCCTATCCTGTGCTGCTTGAGGCGGGAGAAGGAGGGGAGGGCGAGCGGCATGAAACAGACTGGGCGAAAAATGTAGTTCACGTAAGCTCGGAGTGGCGCAGTGGTCACAGTAGATGTCAATCTAATAGTACAGCCTATCCAACACTGCAGAAGGCGGGGAGGCGGGCAGAATGAAATACATTAGGCGAAACCGCAGAGCGTGGGAACCCGGAAGTGGTGAGGTCTCAGGTGGGCCTTGGGCACAACGCGGGAGTCGATCAGGTACCAGAAATGAACCATAAAGTCATCTGGGGGGGGGGGGTGAGTCTCCTCGTTCTTAGACTTTGGCAAATAATGCTGTTGTTAGAAAGTCCACAATGCAGACGGGTAGAATGGGGCAGGGGTATAGGATAGAGCTTGTTCAAGGATTTTGGGTTTGTTTTGTTTTTGCATTTCCCTCATGAGATTGAGACCGCCGATGGAAAGCGATCCCTCTGATGACACTGGCCCTGTGCACGTGCCTTTGGGGTACGTGGTGGCCCATGAGAAATGGCGAGGGTCACAGCTGGCTCAAGAGATGCAAGGTCGGTCTGAAAAAAAAAAAATCCACCCTTGATCCCTCATCCAATGTTTAAGCTGGGTGCAGGTGGCTCACTTGTAATCCCAGCTACTCAGCTAGTATGAGATCTGAAGATCAAGGTTCGGGCAGGAAATATTGGTGAGCCTCATCTTCAATTAATCAGCAAAAAAGCTGGAAGTGGACGTGTGGCTCTAGTGGTAGAGCACCAGCCTTGAGTGTAAAAGCTAAGGGGCAGTGCCCAGACCTGGAGTTCAAGCCACAGGACTGACATAGAAAAGGGAGGTGGGGGGAGTTTAAACAACTCATTTTGTTTTCTTTATTTCAAGGAAAAATTAAACTCCTTTTTGAGGATGGCCTGAACTTGGCGGATTTTTACCTGTCCAGTAGATCTTGCATTATTTACATCACCGAAGCTGAGTTGGTGGCAGGAAATAGCTACAGAAAGAGACTTGTCCGGGTTCGAAATGTACGTATTGAATTAAGGAGAACTAGAACATTGAATTGCACCCCCATCCTTTAGAATAATTTGTATAATACCATGGGACATTGGGAGCCCACAGTGATAGTTCTCTTGTACTAGGGTTTGAACTCAGAGCCTGGGCACTGCTCATTAGCTCTTCTGCTCAATGCTGGAACTCTACCACTTGAACCACACAGCTCCACTTCTGGTTTTAGACTGGTCTATTGGAGATCAAGAGTCTCACACATTTTCCTACCCAGGCTTGCTTTGAACTTCAATCTTTGGATCTCAGCTTCCTGAGTTGCTAGGATGACGGGCATGAGCCATTAACATGGGGCAGCTGTCTCAACTTTGGAAGGAATTCTGTTACAAAATGCTCTACTGTCTTTCTCTTGGAAGTGTGGTCATCTTCAAGGGATTGTAGTGGTGGAAAAAACACAGATCAATGAACAGTACTTCCCAGCCATACAGAAGTTTGTGGTGCTGGATCTTGGGATGGTCTTACTTCCTGTAGGAAACCAGATGGAAGCAGCCTGTCTTATTGTCCAGTTTGTAAGTACCTAATCCTCCTTCACAATTGTCCTTCTGCAGATTCTCAACGGGCCTGGTGGCTCCTCTGTGCTAGTTGCGGTCCTTTCTATAGTTATAATAAGCTAGAAGTCCAATCCTTGACATTCCTTGTATTGGTTTATCACATCTTTTTTTCCCCCCTCATTCTTATGCCAGTACTGTGGCTTGAACCCTGAGCCTAGGCATTATCCTTTAGCTTTTTCATCGCTCAAGGCTGGCGCTCTACCATTTGAGCCACATCTCTGTTAGTGGCTTTTTGCTGGTTAATTTGGGAGAAATGTTTCATTGAGTTTTATGCCTGGGAGGCTTCCAAACTCCATTCTTAGATCTCAAGTCTCCTGAGTAGCTAGGATTACAGGTGTGAGTTATCAGCACCTGTCTTAGTTTATTGAATCTTTTTTTGGAGACGTTTAGGTTCAAAAGCTGCCTCTGCTGCCCATAGAGGCTGTCCCCTCCTCTAGATAACCACCTAACACAAGTGATGAAGTTTAAGGTCTGCTTTTTGGATGTTCAGGCTACAAGGACTCCATCATTCACTATCTAGCATTTCCACTGGTGAAAAATCTTAATTCTCCATATTACATTTAGTAAGCACCGGTATCTCTGTGTGTAGCTTATTACATTTATTTACTTAAGAAAGAAAATTGGGGGCTGGGAATGTAGTTCAGTGGCAGAGTGCTTGTCTTGCATGCATGAGGCCCCTGGGTTCGATTGCTCAGCATCACATAAGCAGGAAAAAAAAAGCCGGAAGTGGCACTATGGCTCACGTGGTAGAGTGCTAGCCTTGAGCTGAAAAGCTGAGGAACAGTGCCCAGGCCCAGAATTCAAGTCCCATGACCGACAAAAAAGAAAGAAAGAAAGAGAGAGAGAGAGAGAGAGAAAGAAAAAAAGGAAGGAAGGAAGGGAAAAAGGGGGGAAAAAAAGCAAACTAGTTCTTTTAAGTAATTTTTCAACTTGGCTCATTAGAATTTCTAAGAATAGAGACCTTTTTTTTTTTGCCAGTCCTGAGGCTTGAATTCAGTGCCTAGGCGCTGTCCCTGAGCCTCTGTACTCAAAGGTAGCTCTCTATCACTGGAGCCACAGTGCTAATTCCGGCTTTTTCTGAGTAGTTTATTGGAGATAAGACTCTCGGGAGCTTTCCTGCCTGTGCTGGCTTCAAACCTCAGTCCTCAGATGTCAGTCTCCTGAGTAGCTACGATTATAGGAATGAGCCACCAGATGCCCAGCTCCCAGAGACTCTGATCTCCAATTAACCACCTGAAAACCAGAAATGTGGCTCAAAGTTGTATAAAAAAAGCTCAAGGGCAGTGCCCAGGCCAAGATCAATCACAACCGGGGGCGGGGGAGAATCCCAGTAATAGGGCCCTCTGTACATCACCTTTATAATAACAATTTTAAAAATTTTTTAAAAAGGGCTGGGAGGCTGGGAAGGTGGCTCAGTGGTAGAGCGCTTGCCTTGCATGCATGAGGCCCTGGGTTCGATTCCTCAGCACCATAAGCAAAAAGAAAAAAGCCGGAAGTGGCACTGTGGCTCAAGTGGTAGAGTGCTAGCCTTGAGCTGAAGAGCTGAGGGACAGCGCCCAGACCCAGAGTTCAGGCCCCATGACCGGACCCAAAAAATAAATAAATAAATAAAAATAAAAAAGGGCTGGGAATGTGGCTTAATGGTAGAATGCTTGTCTAGCATGCATGAAGCCCTGGATTTGATTCCTCAGTACCACATAAACAGAAAAGGCTGGAAGTGGCGCTGTAGCTCAAGTGGTAAAGTATTAGCTTTGAGCAAAAGAAACTTAAGGACAATGCCTAGGTCCTGAGTTCAAGCCCCAGGACTGGCAAAATAAATAATATTAATTTTAAAAACTAGGGCTGGGAAGGTGGCTCAGTGGTAGAGCGCTTGCCTTGCATGCTTGAGGCCCTGGGTTCGATTCCTCAGCACCACATAAGCAAAAAAAAAAAAGCCGGAAGTGGAGCTGTGACTCAAGAGCGCTAGCCTTGAGCCGAAGAGCTGAGGGACAGCGCCCAGGCCCAGAGTTCAGGCTCCACGACTGGACCCAAAAAAAAAAAAATAGTGATGGGGAAACTGGGTGCCAGTTGTTTTTGCCTGTAACGTAGGCACTCAAAAGGCTGAGATTTGAGGATCCTGGTTCAAAGCTAGCCCAAGCTGGAAAGTCCATGAGATTCTTATCTCCCATTAACTACCAAAAAGCCAGAAGTGAGCCAGGCACCTGTGGCTCACGCCTGTAATCCTAGCTACGCAGGAGGCTGAGATATGAGGATCACAGTTCAAAGCCAGTCCCGTGAGACTCTTATATCCAATAAACCACTAGAAAACCAGAAGTGGCACTGTGGCTCAAGTGGTAGAGTGCTCGCCTTGAGCTGAGGGTCAGAGTTCAGACCCAGAGTTCAAGCCCCACGACCGACAAAAAAAAAGCCACAAGTAGAGCTGTGGTTCAAGTGGGAAAATGATATCTTTGAATGGAAAATGCAAAGTGACAGTGCCCAGGCCCCTGAGTTCAAGACCCAGTATTCATTCTCTATTTCTCTTCTCCTCTCCTCCCCCTGTCCCACGCCCCCCCCCCCCCCCCCCCCCCCCCGCCACTAATAATAAACCTCCTTTCCTCCAGAGGGCGCTTATGAGCTGTTCCTTTAATTTCTGGTTCAGGTGGAAGAGCAGAGCCAAGTGACCAGGAAGAACCCTTTCCTCAGGAAGACAACACGGGTTGGGCTCTCTGAAACTTCCCTTGTTCGAACTGTTCAACAGATCCCAGGAGTTGGAAAAGTTAAAGCTCTCCTTCTTCTTCAGAAGTTCCCAAGCATCCAACAACTCAGCAATGCTTCTGTCCAAGAGCTGGAGCAGGTGGTGGGCCCAGCGGTGGCCCAGCAGATCTATACCTTCTTCACCCAGTCCAGGTGACCTGACTTCACATTTACTACTGTTGTCTTGCCTAGACAGCAAGCTTCTGCTTTTCCTGTTTAAAAATCAAGAAATAGCTGGGTGCTAGTGTAATCCTAGCTCCTCAGGAGGCTGAGATCTGAGGATCGTGGTTCAAAGCCAGCTTGGGCACGAAAGTCCATGAGATTCTTCCCTCCAATAAACCACTAGAAGACTGGACGTTGTGCTATGGCTCAAGCAGTAGAGCACTCGGCTTGAGCTGAAGAGTGCAAGGACAGTGCCCAAGCCCAGAGTTCAAGCCCCATAACTGACAAATAAAAAAAGAAAGAAGTCAGAAACAGCACCAAGCCCTGAGTTTACCCTCTGGGACTGGCAAAAAAAAAAAAGGGCAGGGCACTGGTAGCTCACACCTATAATCCCAGCTATTTAGGAGGCTGAGATCTGAGGTTTGCATTTGCCAGCCTGGATAGACAAATTTATGAAACTCCTATCTTCAGTTGACCAGTAAAAAGTCACACGTGGAGGAATAGCTCTTGTGGTAGAGCTCCAACCTTGCGTGAAAAAGCCAAGCAAGAGTATGAGGCCCGAAGTACCAGAACTCGTCTTGATACTAGCACAACCAGTCAAACCAAGAAATATGATTTCCTCTCAGAGTAACCAATGAAAGACAAGTCCTTGATGTTCCTTTGAGGTCTGGGTTTGAGCATAGGTGTCAGTGCTAATGGTCTGCTACAAAAAGGACCCAGTGAGGACCTCTTTTTTTTTTTTATTATCAGTTGTGGGGCCTGAACTCTGGACTTGGGCGCTGACCCTCAACTCTTCAGCTCAAGGCTAGCACTCTACCACTTGAGCCACAGCACCACTTCTGGCTTTTTCTGCTTATGTGATACTGAGGAGTCGAACCCAGGGTCTCATGGGTAGAAGGCAAGCACTCTACCACGGAGCCACCTTCCCAACTAGTGAGGACCTCTTGGTCTCAGCAAAAACTCAGCTAGGACATATTTATATGAGGGACCTTGACCTGTGCCTGTCATAGAAGGGAATAGAAGGTTCCAGGCAGCAGTTGTAGATATGTACAGGAAACAAAGCTATAATGACTCACTTATATCTTCAGGTCTTGTCTGCAGATCTGTGCTCTGGGGCTGTTGCCCATGTAAATAAACTAATATACAATAGTTCCACCCTTGAGTCCTTTGTCCCTGTATTTTTATTGTATTTATTTTTTTTGCTGGTATTAAGGCTTGAATTTAGCTTCATATTCTTGATTTAGCTCAGCTTTTCTATTCAAAAAAGATTGGTGTTCTACCACATGAGCCACAACTCCATTTCCAGCTTTTTGTTGGTTAATTAGAAATAAGAGCCTCATAGACTTTTCTGCCTGGGCTAGCTTTCAACCTGAATCCTCAGATCTCAGCCTCTAGAGTAGCTAGGATTACAGGCATGAGCCACTGGCAGCTTATATGTACAATTAATGTGGTTTAAAAAAATACTAAACATCTGAATGAAAGCTCATTAATTTTGTCAAATGTTAGTCGTTTTTGGAAAATAAAATGCAAGAGAAAAAACCGGTACATGAGATTGATAATGATTTGAGGGAAATGAAATAACAAAATCTTAAATCAGTTGAACGAATGCATTTATTTATATATTTACACAAACACAGTCGTAGGAGCAGCGGGGACACATTTCCTAAAGGTGGTTGCTTCCTTTAAGATATTGCACAATAGAAAAATATGGTCAATCCTTGTTAATTCTCTAAACAAAGACCACAATGCTCTATATTAAGCCACATGGCCTTTCCTGTGTCAGCCATGAATCCATCATTAGAGTCACAGCGTCATCCATCTTATAGCCGAAGAAGTCAAACTGGTAAGAATGTTCATTAAAAACAGTAACAAAAACAAAAAGGTCAAAAACAGCTTAAGACTTGAACCACTGACATCTTTACCTACTCTCTTGCCTAAGACATTTAAAATACAGTTATGTACTTTTTACTTTCAAGAAGGTACTGAAAGGTTTGGAGTATAATAATACGGTATCTATACTGGAGACAAAATGGCGTATCAAACACTCCCACAAGGCCAGCACCTTCTAGGTGGAGCCACACTAAAGTACAAGCTACTTGTAAATTGTTTTTCTTTATTTTTGGCAGTGGTTCAATCCCTACCACCACCAAAAAAAAAAAAGAAATGAATTTGGCACTAGACTTGATCTAGAAATAGCATTCATAGATAGAAGAGTAAAATCTTATTTTAAGGTAATAAATTCCCCAGAGGAAATAGCTTTGAGGGCCATATTGTGTGTGCTGGTTCTAGGGGCTTGTACTCAGGTCCTGGGTGCTCTCCCTTAACTTTTTTGCACAAGGCTGGTGCTCTACTACTTGTGCCCCACCTCTACTTCTGGCTTTTTGGTAATTCACTAGGGATCAGCCTAATTTTCATACCCAGGCTGGCTTCAAACTGTAATCCTTAAATCTCAGCCTCCTGAGTTGCTTCAATTGCAGCTGTGGGCCAAGAGTGCCCAGCTTGGCAAAATTTTCCTATACAAATTTCCCTATCTTTTGTTGCCCTGACCTATCTTTAATTCAAGGGTCCACTGGACTCTAGAGCAAGGACAGACTTACCCCTGTCTGGACACTTAGAAATATCACAAATGTAGTAAGGTAGCCTCAGTTTACCTCTGTTAGCTCCTAACAAATAATTAAAAGCAGCCATCATCTGGACACTGTTCTATGTACAATACCTTCTAAAATAAATAATCTGCAGCAATATAGTGAAATTCTGAATAAATGTGCTTCCCGCAGATGTCCAGAGGATTCTTGTCACTTCTCTAAAAGCTCACCAAAGACAAGTTTATACTGGGAAAAACGGGAAGTAACGACATTTAGATATTTTCTCCTATGGCACAGATTGAAAGGCCTTGACCTGCCAGCGGGTAAACATCTGTTTTGTCCATGTTGTACTTAGTACAATGAGCTTTCAGAGTTGAGCAGGCTAAAAGGAGTCAGCAGCTTCTTCTTGACTTGAGGCCTTGCCCTTGCCACTCCAACTGCCGGGAGACACAAGGTACTGGCTGACTTCTGTCTGTTCTTACTGGTACCCCAACTCAAAAAGGAGAGCTTCTTGGAGACCTTCTTGGTTTTGTAACTTTTATCATCATCATCATCGATGGATAAGCAGATCATGGAGTAGGTTTTCTGCATTCCCACAGAATATGTGGCACACTTACCAGGCTGTATGGAAGAGAGGAAGGACGAAGACTCTAAGGCGTGGCAAGACTATCTGGTAAAGGATTACTAAGGTAGAGGCTTATGTCTTCACACTTCACAGGACCCTCAAATAGAAACCTGAAACAGACTGTATGTGTGTATGTGGTTTGAACTTGGAGCCTCGTGTTCTTGTTTGATTTTATTTTTTCTGTTCAATGCTTATGCTCTACCACTTGAGCCACACCTCTACTTCCAGCTTTAACTAGAGATGAGAGTCTTTCAGATTTCTGTTCCAGCTGGCTTTGAACTTCAATCCTCAGATCTCTTGGCTATTTGAGCCACCAGCACCTATCTTGGGACCATTTTTCAAAGCTGCATGTTGCTGGGGATATTTTATCAAGCAGACTTGCTTTCTTTGAAATTCGAATCCTCTAAGCAACACCATCCCCTGGCTCATCTGTCTTGCCCTTCCACCATCAATCAACCTTTCCTCCTCCACACACCTCCTCATGCCCTATCTTCTCTGCCTACACCCAACTCCTCCTCTTTACAGATTCCTCAGCCTCTCTCTTCCAGTACCAATCTGCCTGCATTCCTTCCTCAAAGACTTCCACCCCCAACCTGGCTCTGCCCTCTCTGCCTCGATGCACAACACCACATTCTTTGAAAAGTTTCCTTGACCCCACAATTCTCCCAGGACCATCCCAGGGGCTCTGCTTTCTTTCACTCGTCTTTTAACCCTTTTCCTTTCATCTTTGCCCCCATTACTGGCTCCCTCAGTCTTTTCTGCACCTTTTTGGGAGAGAGAGAGAGAGAGAGGGAGAGGGAGATGAGAGAGAGAGAGAGAGAGAATGTGTGTGTTAGATCTAGCCTTGAGCTTCTTTACCACTTGAGCTACAGCGCCATTTCTGGCTTTTTCTGAGTAGTTTATTGGAGATAAAAGTCTCATGAACTTTCCTACCTGAACTGGCTTTGAACTACAATCCTCAGAACTCAGCCTCCTGAGTAGCTAAGATTACAGGCATGAGCCACTAGCACCCAGCTGGAATTCTTAAGTTTTTAAAGGGAACATGTTTTTAATTGTTTTTGGTTTTTGTTGATTTTTGGTGCTAGTAATGGGGCTTACACTTGTGTATTTTCTTGTGTGTTTTTTTTCTTTTCCTGCTCAGGGCTGGCTTTCTACCATTTGAGTCATATTTCTACTTCTGACTTTTAGTGGTTAATTGGAGATAAGTTTCTCAGAATTTCTGTCCAGGTTAGCTTTGAACCATGATCCTCAGATCTTGGTCACCTGGGTAACTAAGATGACAGGCAATTTCTGGCTTGGGTGTCTCCCTTTAAGCCTCAAATACCCAGCTGCCTAAATAGATTGGCATGGATGACCAACATCATGGAAAACTCAGAGCATGACTATTCTCTTTTCTACCTCTTAGCTCCATTACAAAACAGCCTCTGAGCCAGGCATAGTAGCTTATGACAGTAATCCTAGCTAGCTGTTCAGGAGGCTGAGATCTGAAGATCATGGTTCAAAGCCAGCGAAGGCAGTAAAGTTGGTAAGACTATCTCCACAACCATCCAAAAGCCTGTAGAGCTATGGTTCAAGTGGTAAAGTGCCAGAGGCAGAGCACCTACTTGAGCAAAAAAAGCTGAAGGACAGCACCAAGGCCCTGAGTTCAAGACTCAATATCAGCAAAAAAATAACAGCCATTGCCCATGCAGCTGTTCAAGGCTTAGACTGTGATGTCTTTCCTGTTACCATAGTTATACAAACCCTCAACAAATCCCTGCAGGGTGTCAGTATCTCATACTTGTAATCCTAGTACTCAGGAAGCTGAGATCTGAGGATCATGGTTTGAGCCAAAAAACAACAACAACAACAACAACAAAACTGGAAGTGGCATTGTGGCTCAAGTGGTACAGCCTTGAGCAAAAAAGCTGAGGGCTAACACATACAAAAGCACATTTCTGAAGCACCTACCTCTCCCTATCCCCCAGCTAAAGCCATTGGCCAGGAGGATCTGTGACCAGCCTCCAGATAGCAGGTGTCCCTCTAGAACAAACATCAGATGAGGGCACTGACCTTCCCAAAAGGTTCAATTGCTTCTAGCCTCAGGGCACTACCACAGAGGCCCCTATCTCTCTCCCTACCCTGCCCTCCTCATAGTGCTCTCCTGCATCTTTTTAGTGGTTTACATCCAGGTTCCTGCCTGTCTAGGAGCATCTCCTCAATCCCAGATGTTCAACCATGGGTTCTTTCTTTTACATCATTTATCAAGATCACCACTTGGGTGGGGAGGGAGGAGATGGGAAGGGATGGGTAGGGATGGGAAGGGGAAACAAAGGAGGAGGCAACAATGCTTGATTTAAAAAATATACTCATTACCTTGCCCATGTAATTGTAACCCCTCTGTATGGTATTTTCACAATAAAAATTTTTTTAAAAAATCACCACTTTGTAGTGCTGATTACCCATTGTCAGAGCAAGAACCTCTCTAATCTAGTGGAGGCTGGGGCTCCCATACTTAAGACAATGTGAAACACTTTCCCTCTTTCTGTTTTTTTGTGCTGGTACTGGGAGTTGAACTCAGGGCCTGGGAACTGTCTTTTTTTTTTTTGGTGGGTTGTGGGGTTTAAACTCAGGGCCTGGGTGCTGTCCCTTGCTCAAGGCTAGTGCTCTACCACTTTGAGCCACAGCTCCACCTCCAGTTTTCTAGTGGTACACTGGAGATAAGAGTCTCACAGACTTTCTTGCCCTGAGCTGGCTTCAAACTGTGATCCTCAGATATCAGCCTCTAGAGGAATTAGGATTATAGGTGTAAACTAACCAGCATCTGACCCTTAACCTTTTTGCTCAATGTCTCTAGTACATTTTTGCTGGTTATTTTGGAACAGATGGGAGTCTCACAGACTTCTCCCTTGGCTTGCCTCAAACCTGTATCCTCCAGATCTCAGTATCCTGAGTTAGCTGGTATTATAGTTACAGTACCCAGCTTCCATCTGAACATATATTTTTTTTAACCATAAGCATGATATAAATTAAATGGATTTTTTAAAGTAATCAATTCATTAATATGGAACTAGGAAATTGAAAGTTTTCAAAATTGTCTCGACTTAGGATGAGTGCATTCCAGGATTTCAGTTTAGGAATTGGCAGTTTGTGCTACACTGTGCCAAGTTGGAAGGCAGAGGTCCCTGGGGTGGAACTCACACTAAGCTCACATCCCCGCCACACTCACCATGGAAGATGTGGAGTCCAGGAGGCTCACCACCTTCATGTCAATCTCATCCCCGCCAAACCCCTTCAACAGCTTCATGACCTCAGTCACTGTTAGCCACTTACAATCCACATCTTGAATGGAAATGATATAGTCTCCCTCTTTGGTTCCTGCCAGCTAGGAGAATGTTATTTTAATAAAGGTTAGTGTTGCTTCATTTCTTTTTTTAAATCTGTACCCATACTGGGGCTTGAACTCAAGACCAGGATGCTATCCTTGAACTTCTTGATTTTTTTCTCTCAGGCTACCATTTTAAGCCACAGCTCCAGTTACTTCCAGCCTTTTTTGGTGGTTCACTGGAGATAAGAACCTCACAGACTTTCCTGCCCGAGGTGGCTTTGAACCACAATCTTCAAATCTCAGGATCCCTATAGGTTCTTCCCATTAAAAAAAAAAAGGGGGGTGGCTGGGAAGGTGGCTCAGTGGTGGAGTGCTTGCCATGCATGCAGCCCTGGGTTCGATTCCTCAACACCACATAAACAGAAAAAGCTGGAAGTGGTGCAGTGGCTCAAGTGGTAGAGCGCTAACCTTGAGCTGAAGAGTTGGAGAGCATTCAGGACCAGAGTTCAAGCCCCATGACCAACAAAAAAAAAAAAAAAAAAAGGATTCACACCTGTCATCCTAGTCTCTGAGAAAGCTGAGACTTAAGGACCAGAGTTCAAAGCAGTCCGGGCAGGAAAGGCCATGAGATTTTCATCTCCAATTAACTAATACCACCACCACCACCAACAACAAAAAGCAGGAAATGGAGCTGTGGTTCTAGTGATAAAGCAAGGCTCTAGCCTTGAGCAAAAGAGGCTCTAGGACAGGGTCCAGGCCCTGAGTTCAAACCTCAGGACCAGCACAAGGCAAACAATATGATAGGCTTACTGCAGCAGAACATTGAGGGTCCAGGAAGTGGACCTGCACTGGGGTGTTTCCTCTCAGCGTGAAGCCCAAGTCCCCTTCTTCTGCTGTGAAGTGAATGTTTCTAGGAGGAGTCCACCTCTTGCTGGCCGAGAACACAGATAGGGGGCCCTGGGAAGACAAGAGTCATTAGGCTGGAAAGGTTGGAGACTAAGGCACATTTGGTTCTATTATATATTTTTTGGGGGGGAGGGTCCAGTTGTGGGGCCTGAACTCTGGGCCTGGGCACTGTCCCTCAGCTCTTCAGCTCAAGGCTAGCACTCTACCACTTGAGCCATAGCGCCATTTCTGGCTTTTTTTTTTTTTTCCTTTTGCTTATGTGGTGCTGAGGAATCAAACTTAGGGCCTCATGCATGCAAGGCAAGCACTCTACCACTGAGCCACCTTCCCAGCCCCTATTATATTTTCTTATGCTAGCAGTAGGGCTTGAACTCAGGGCCTAGAAGCTGTCCCTTAGCTCATTTACTCAAAGCTAGCACTCTCCTTACTTGAACCACAGTTCCAATTCTACCTCTTTAGTGATTAATTAGAGAATAGAGTCTCACAGACTTTCCTGCCCGGGCTAGCTTTGAACCATGATCTCAAATTTCAGCCTCCTGAGTAGCTATGATAGTTTTATTTATTAATGTTTATTATTTTTCTCCAAAGGGATAGCTGTTTTGGCATCTTGCTATGGTCCTTAGGATAGTCTTGAATTTCTGGGCTCAAAGGATCCTTCTGTCTCTGTTCCCCAAGTGTTGTGATTACAAGCTGTAAAAATAGTGCTTTATATATAGTCTAAATATGTGTGTCCTGCCAAGATTTGTATGTTAAAACCTAATAACCAGCCAGGTACTGGTGGCTCATGCCATTAGAAAGCTGAGATCTGAAGATCACAGTTCTAAAGCCAGCTGGGGCAGGAATGTCTAACTCTCCAACTAACCAGCAAAAAGCTGGAAGTAAGGACTGGGAAGGTGGCTCAGGGGTAGAGTGCTTGCCTTACATGCATGAGGCCCTGGCTTCCATTCCTCAGCACCACATAAGCAAAAAGAAAAAAGCCGGAAGTGGCGCTGTGGCTCAAGTGGTAGAGTGCTAGCCTTGAGCTGAAGAGCTGAGGGACAGCGCCCAGGCCCAGAGTTCAGGCCCCACAACCAGAACCAAAAAAAAACAACAACAACAAAGGAAAAACAATAACAAAACCCTAATTGCCCATGATTAGTAGGTTGGGCCTCTGATGGCCCTCATTAACTGACTCGATGCTCTTGCAGTTAGGTTCAAAGGAGCTCACTAGCCCCTTTCACCACTTGAGGACACAGCAAAAGGCCGTCTATGACGTAGCAAGCAGCTCCTAGTGAATGCTGAAATCTGCCAGCACATTGACCTTGAACTTCTCAGCCACTAGAACTGGAAGCAGCTTAAGTTTCTGTTGATTATAATAAGTCACCCATTGGATGGTATTTTGTATAAGGTACTAGATAAATGAAGACAGCTTATGTATGAAACTTACAGGCCATCACCTTAGGTCATTTATGAAGGAAATACCCCACATACCAGCTTCTGGAAGTAGTCTGTGACCGTGACCTTGGAGAACTGGGGTGGTATTACTTCTACCTCTTGCTCAGTTTTAGCTAGAAGAGGAAAAATAAAAGGTTAAGAGTCTCTGTAAAAGGTAACCCTGGTGTGTTTATACTTGAGTGTACCTATAGTCTCGAGGATCTTGTCACTACTGAATAAATACGGCCAAAATATTCCATAGGGTAAAATCCTTGCTGATCAGGTCTATATGTTCAAAAGTTTTCTGAAAATCCAATGGTGGCTTTTTGTTGTTGCTGTTGTTGTCATTGTTATTGTTGTAGGAGTTGTGGGGCCTGAACTCAAAGCCTCAGTGCCATCCTAGAATTCGTTTGTTCAAGGCTAGCACTCTACTACTTAAGTCATAGCTTTACCATCAGCTTTTTGGTAGTTAAATAGAGATAAGGGTCTCACAAACTTTCTTGCGTGGGTTGGCTTTGAACCACAATCTTCAGATCTTAGCTTCCTTAGGATTACAGATGTGGGCCACCAGTACTTGGCTTCCAAATTTTGGCTATTTTGTCTTTAGTATTTTATTTTTTAAATTATAACAGTAGTACCTCAAAACTGAATCTCTACATGGGTCCTAGACTTTGTCATTGTGACAGAAAGCCAACTAAGAAGGCAAAACTATACCTGTTTTATGTTATAGTGCTGAGGAAGGAAGAGTAAAATAACAACAACAACAATAAAAGATTTTACACACCAAAAAAAAAAAAAAAGAGTCTCTGTAAAGAGAAATTATCCTTAAAAGACTCAAGCTGCAGTAGGGTACTGGTGGTTCACACCTGTTAATCCTAGCTACTCAGGGAGCTGAGACCTGAGGATCATAGTTGGAAGACAGATGGGCAGGTGAGTCTCTGAGACTCATATCTCCAATCAATCATAAAAAGCCAGTACTGGAGCTGTGGCTCAAGTGGTAGAGCATCAGCCTTGAGCAAAATAGCTAGGGGACAGCATTCAGGCCTTGAGTTCAAGCCCCAGTATGAGGAAAGAAAGAGACAGGAGAAAAAGAGAAAGAAAGAGAGGAGAGGAAGAAAAGAAAAATAGATGGAAGATAGACTGATGGATTGATCTGGCACAAACTCCTCAGTGGAAAAAGAGGGAGCTAGAGGAGCTACAGGTCCAAAGGAGGGCCTAAGATTTCACTGAAGAATCTAGAAAATGAAAGCAAGAGTATGCTGGACCTTTAAGATACAAAGACTAGAGGTAGATGATACTGGGCAAGAAGAAATAATCAACCCAGAGGACAGGACCAGGATGACAAACATCAGAATGACAAGAGAAAGGATCACAAGAAAGCCACTGGAGTAGGAATGAGGGGAGAAAAGGGCAAGGGAAGGGAAGCCCATAGTCCAGCCCTGGTGCAGTGCGCTTCAGGGCCCTCATGCAGAGAGCTGCCTGGGCCTGCAGGATAGAAGACACAGGCTGGGGGCTGGGAACGTGGCTTAGTGGTAGACTGTCTAGCATGCATGGGTTCGATACCTCAGTACCACATAAACAGAAAAAGCCAGAAGTGGCGCTGTGGCTCAAGTGCTAGAGTGCTTGCCTTGAGCACAGAGAGGCTCAAGTGTCTTTGAGTCTAGGCCCTGAGTTTAAGCCCCAGGACCAGCAAAAAAAAAGTAAAAGAAAAAACAGGCTATATGCAGCTGGGGTGCTGAGGCCTCCCACGACAGGTACATCTGCTTTTTAGAGCAGACTCACTCACAAGAATAAGACCCAGATCATAAGTATACAGGCCACACCTATAGACATGAGGCCCTGTCCATCAGCACACAGGTCCTACTGACAGGAATAAGGCTCTGACATAAGCATACAGGGCCCTCCCACAGGCACTCAGGTACTGCCCACAAGTCTATAGGATCAACTAGTCACACAGGACCAGCCCATAGGCCTCACTCATAAGAGTAAGGCCCTGCCCACAGGCAAAAATGCCACACCCATGCTCTCACAAGTCATACCCACTAGCACAAAGGCCTGGTCTTGCCACTCACACACAATGTCAGGGGCTTCCATCAAGTTCAGGATATCATCTTCCTCTCGGTGTTGATCATATTTGAGCCGGGTCCGTTGGTGGGCCGCTGTTAGCACCTCCTGAAGCACATGGATGTTGCGTAGTTTCTTGCACAGGCTGGCTTCCCTCAGGGACTCTTCATGGTGGGTGATAGCTCTCTGCAGATGGCACTTTCCTGAAGGCAGAAACCACAACCCACAAGGCGTGTGAATCTTATCACAGAGCAGGTAGGACTACTAGCCCTTTCTAAATTAGGAGCTACCTATAACTATGCAGGAGGCTAAGATCTGAGGTTTGTGGTTCAAAGCCAGCCTAGGCAGGAGTGTCCATGAGATCCTTATCTCCAAATAGTCAGCAAAAAGCTTGAAATAGAGCTGTGGCTCAATAGGGAGAATGCCAGTCCAGTGAAAACACTAAGGGATAGCACCTAGGCCTTGGGTTCAAGCCTCAGAACTGGCACAAAAAGAAAAGAAGGGAAGAGAAGGGGGAGTCATTCCTTCCATACTTTTCAGGGAGAATGACAGCCATCTGGCTCCAAGACTGGAACCCGGGGCACTCATGGGGCTGTGAGAAGGCATTCTGGGGGCCTCTGAGAGGCTATGCCTCCTGATTCTGAGAAGTCACAATGCTTGGTCCAAAAGTCCTGTCCCCCACTTCTCCATGGAGAAGTGCGCAATACAGGCTGAGATCCAGCAGGGACAGTTCAGGGTCCATACGCACCCAGCTGCTGGCGCTGCTGCTGATTCTTCAGTGTGGCCAAGGGCGTCAGCCCCTCTGGCATTTGGGTGTAGAGCTGAGACAAGCATTTCTCCTGGTGGTCCTCATCTGCACCTGGCTTCACTGTGAACACAATCACAAGGGAAATCTCCCTTTCCCTCTGCACACTCACATGGGTTCTCTCCCCACCCCATCTTAGGGCTCCTTTTGATTCCAACACAAAGCCCAGGCAACCTGGCCCCCCAATCCCTTTGCAGGGACTGGCCAAACTCAGGGAATTCGAGACCATGACCCTGACACAGAGACAGACAGACAGACAGACAGACACACACACACACGCACGCACGCACGCACGCACGCACGCAACCACCATGTGGCCACTACACAGCCCTGAGCATCACTGCTGGCATGCACACCTTTGTGCCTTGTGATGTGGCCCTTCTGCTTCAGCCTCATTTTCCCTGGAGCACGTCCTGTGAACCTCACCCACCACTCACCACCCTCTACGCTCTGAGTTTCTACCTCAGAGCTCAGTCTTGCTCTCCCTAGCTACATGTGTGTGTGTTGTGTGTGTCCCTGCTCAAAAGCCCAGCTCAAAGGTTACTACCTCCAAGAAACCATCTAGGATTGCATCAAGGAGTCCACCAGGCTGCCTTGCCCACATCCACAGCAACTACAGTGTATTTCCTTTGTTGCCCTATCTTGTCCTACTACACAATGCTAGTGGTGGCACCTAACACATTCAAAGAGCTTTGTACAGAGGTACTTAATTTTCACAACAGCCCCCCTGCTCCAAGAGGAAGGGTTTTCTTGCTACTTCCATATAGCAGATGAGAATAAGAAGAAAAGGAAGGCACAAAGCAGCTAAGTCACCAGACACTGGTGGCTCAAGCCTATAATCCTAGCTACTCAGGAGGCTGAGATCTGAGGATCGCAGTTCAAAGCCAGCTCAGGCAGGAAAGTCCAGGAGACTCTTACCTCCAATAAACTACCAGAAAACCAGAAGTGGAGCTGTGGCTCAAGTGGTATACCACTCGCCTTGAGCTGAAGAGCTGAGGGACAGCATTCAGGCCCAGAGTTCAAACCTCATGACCCACAAAAAAAAAAAAAAAAGCAGCAGCTAAGTCACTTTTCCAAGGTCACATAGGTTATTAGGGGCAAGGCTGAGATAAGAACTCAAGCAGTCTGGCTGCAATGATTGTTTATTTACTCAGGATTGCCATACTTCAAACATTAATTATATAAGAAATCCTACCTGACCATTAGATCTGAGCCAGCATTAGGGTGAGGAGGAAGAGGCACCAGATTCAAGCACAACATTTAAGAGAATGATAAGAACTCTGTCAAAAAAGTATATGAACTCCAGGCTGGGAATGTGGCTCAGTGGTAGAGTGCTTGCCTAGCATGCCTGAAGCCCTGGGTTTGATTCCTCAGTACCACATAAACAAAAAAACCAGAAGTGATGCTGTGGCTGTGGCTCAAGTGGTAGAGTGCTGGGTTTGAAGTTCAAGGACAGTACCCAGGCTCTGAATTCAAGCCCCAGAACTGGTAAAAATAAATAAAAACATAAACAAACTTTCTGGGTGTTTTTTTTTTGGTGATACTGAAGTTGAACTGAGGGTCTCACACTTGCTTAGCTTGTTTGTTTGACAAGCATTCTCCCATTCTCCCACCTGAGTCAAACCTCCAACCCAACATTTTGTTTACTAATTGGAGATAAAGAGTCTCATGGACTTTTCTGCCAGTGCTGGCTTTGAATCTTGGTCCCCTGGATCTCAAGTCTCCTGAGTAAGGGGGACTGCAGGTAAACGCCACCAGTGCATGACCTTTAAATTATTACTTATCTTAATTACTATTCTTTTCCTTTGCTGTTCCTGGAGCTTGAACTCTGGGCCTAGGTGCTGTCCCTGAGCTTTTGTGTTCAAGTCTAGTGCTCTATCACTTGAGCCACAGCTCCACTTCCAGCTTTTTTGGACAGTTTATTGGAGGTTATGGAATTTGTGATACCCTAGACATTCCAGATTCCAGTTGAAAAACCATCTGCTTGGCTCCAAAAACAAAATGAAACTGCCTTTGAATGAAATTGGGTCCCTCCATACAAGTTGATCATCCTTAATCTGGGCTTGGCCGTGGGCTATGTGTTCTCCCCACCTCCTGCCTTCATTCAGGCTGGGAACGTCTGCAGAACAGGAGGGAGCGCAGGGAATACCCACTTAGCTCAGAAATCCTCCCCTCCCCCTATTGAGCTGTTAAGACCACAACCCTGATCCAAGCCCAGAGCCTCAAATCTTACACTGGTGATCCATGAGGAGGGTGGCGGCGAAGTAGTGGGCTAGAGCTCCATAATGATGAGCCTTCAGACAAGCCAGGCTGGTCCAGGAGTAGGGGATATTCTCTTTCACTGGTGCCTGGCTCATGGCTGTGTGCAACTGCCGGTAGACCTCTGCCACCTGAAACAAGGGTTATGGGAGGGGGGAGCTCAGTTTCAGAGAAAGAGCCCTTATTTGTGTGTGTGTGTGTGTGCGTGCGCACACGCGCATGCGCATGTGTGCATACACATACACACACGCACCTGTACTGGGGTACTTGAGCTCAGAGCCTGGGTGTGTTCATGAAATTCTTTTGCTTAAGGCTGATGCTCTACCACTTAGGCCACACCTCCACTTCTAGCTTTTTGGTGGTTCAATGAAGAGTGTCCATGAGGGCCAGATACAGGGGGCTCACATGTGTAATCCTAACTACTCAGGAGGCTGAAATCAAGGTTCAAAGCCAGACTGGGGCAAGAAAAGCCCATGAAACTCTTATCTCCAACTAACTACAAAAGGTCAAAAGTAGAACTGTGGCTTCAGTGGTAGAGCGCTAGCCTTGGGCAAATGAGCTAAGGAGTTAGGCGCTGATGGCTCATGCCTATAATCCAGGAGATTTTAACTCCACTTAACCATCAGAAAATTGGAGGTGGAAGGCTAGGCGCTGGTGGCTCACTCCTGTAATCCTAGCTACTCAGGAGGCTGAGTTCTGAGGATTGAGGTTCAAAGCCAGCCCAGCAGGAAAGTCCGTGAGACTCTTATCTCTAATAAACCACCAGGGACTGGGAAGGTGGCTAGAGCGCTTGCCTTGCATGCAAGAGGCCCTGGGTTCGATTCCTCAGCACCACATAAGCAAAAAGAAAAAAGCAGCAAGTGGTGCTGTGGCTAAAGTGGTAGAGAGCTAGCCTTGAGCTGAAGAGCTGAAGGACAGTGCCCAAGCCCAGAGTTCAGGCCGCACAATCGGACCCCCGCCCAAAAAAAAAAACCAGAAAACCGGAAGTGGCCTTGTGGTTCAATTGGTAGAGCACTAGCCTTGAGCTTAAGAGCTGAGGGACAGCATTCAGGCCCAGAGTTCAAGCCCCACAACTGACCAAAAAAAAAGAAAAGAAAATTGAAGGTGGAGCAGTGGCTCCAAGTGGTAGAGCACTAGCCTTGAGACAAAAAAAACTCAGAGACGGCACGCCAT